TGTCATTAGAACAAGTTATATTTGGTCCAAATTGTCTTATACCTGAGTTGTCATTAGAACAAGTTATATTTGGTCCAAATTGTCTTATGCCTGAGTTGTCATTAGAACAAGTTATATTTGGTCCAAATTGTCTTATACCTGAGTTGTCATTAGAACAAGTTATATTTGGTCCAAATTGTCTTATACCTGAGTTGTCATTAGAACAAGTTATATTTGGTCCAAACTGTCTTATACCTGAGTTGTCATTAGAACAAGTTATATTTGGTCCAAATTGTCTTATACCTGAGTTGTCATTAGAACAAGTTATATTTGGTCCAAATTGTCTTATACCTGAGTTGTCATTAGAACAAGTTATGTTTGGTCCAAATTGTCTTATACCTGAGTTGTCATTAGAACAAGTTATATTTGGTCCAAATTGTCTTATACCTGAGTTGTCATTAGAACAAGTTATATTTGGTCCAAATTGTCTTATACCTGAGTTGTCATTATTCCCGATTGTCCTTGATGGCAAGATATATACCTCATTTCCAAGTAATTAAGTTTCCTGTCAGATTTCTGGAAGAGTCAGTACTATGAGCTGTATTTGCTAACGTAGAATGTAATCAAATCGCTACATTTACAAACTTCCGTGATCAAGGATAAAGGTATAATTCGTATTAGCTTTGCATTGTTAAAATGGGTGAAGTGATCATGAGCTTAACGTCATTCTTTGGTATTTTATTAAAATAACATTGAGATTCCAAATTACCTCACCTATTTGCGACTGGATCGATTGGAATAATAAACTTATATGACGCATCGATTCTAACTCATAAACACCAATATCCTATATTTAACCAAGTGATAATTTTCACAGTTTGTTCAAATCCGCCAATATCAGCAAAACTGTTAACATTTATTATGGAAGGGATTTGATGTCAAGGCCCTTTGAATTTACATACAAAAATATTTTGTGGGAAGTGAATTTGGATGTTTTTACAAGAATATAAGTTTCCTGAACTCTGATAAACAGTATCATACTTTGGTCACGAAATGTAATGTCCTTGATGGATGTATGCAAATTAACAATTTCAATAAAGCTTATCTAATCAATAAAAATGACAAGCTATTCTAAACAGTACCATATTTGGAAGCAATCCTTTTTGTTTAAATGTTTTTAAAAGTTGAGAAATGAACAGATTAAAGAAAGCCGATAAACGTTTCTGTACAGTACCGTACTTGGGTGCGATATACATATATTTCACCTAGGTTTAAGGTCATTTGTTTATGCGAATAACAGTAAAGGCGGTAAACGTTAGCCTTGTCTCAAACCCCATTCAGATTTAAAACATGCATTCCTTTCATTCTAACTAGGTGATACATCAGTGTAGACAGGGCGCATGCATTTACCAACATGTGAAGTACGTACATAAATCACTCTTAGATATCTTTGATGTTGTACCTATTATATATGAGCGGGGAAAGAAAATCGGACATCCAAAACAATCGGGTGATAACAGCGGGTGACCACGGGGACAAATTGTAACACAATAGTTTCTACTGGACAGATCTTATTGTGAAAAACGACATGTGTTTTATTGTTTACAAACTTTACCGGTTTATCTGCCCATTGAGGAAATTTCACACGGCCCAATTCTCGATGTTTGTGTTGTTTATGATCCATGTTTTCAATTTATAAAACCACAACTGTTTAGGATTTTGTTTGTTTGTGGTATTGGTGATCCATTTAATTTTTTGAGAATTCGGCTTTGCACAAACTTATCATTTAACCATTTCTTTCTGTCATTATTCTGTTCTTGGTTCTTTATGATGTTGGTGTTGGTGTTAGGGTGTATTGAGACGAGTATTAGAGTACACGAGTACCGACAGTCACATATTATATGTGTGCAGGGTAAACAGATTTAATTCCAATTGATAAACCATCTTGGCCCGTTATATTGCTGCACATAAACGAAATGAAGTTTGGTACTTGACAAAAATATTGTCTTCTGACTCAAGAACGAGAAGAAGAGACTGTGACCAACTCTCAAATCTGACCATAGACATAAATAAGACATAAAATATATTGGCCATGGTCGTAAAAGTTTCTACAATAGACGATGAAAGTTTGAATTGAAAGGAATCTAAAACATCATTTAGTAGTAAACAAGGATAAACAAGACCACGTTTTGATACTAGATTGTTTACACGGTTTCTAGGTTGTAATCTGGATATACTTGTCAACGTCATATCATACCTGATTTATTTCTCATCTCTGATTGGCTATTTAAAGCAACATGGCGATCCTGATACACTTTTGAGTTTGGAATAACAAAACGCTTAGTAGTTTTTACTAGTCAACTTGACATCAGAAATGAAATGAAATGAATGGAGTTTTACGTCTTACTTTTCTGCACCATAACTTGACATCAGAGAGACCACATCAGAGAGAATATCCCCATTGCTGATAATGTTTATGTGGTATTAAGGTTGGTGGACTTTGCATTCCTCCTTTCAGAGAATCCACTTGGCACTTTGTTTGTCAACTTTGCACTCCTTTCAGAGAGTGCACATAGCTAATAATGTTTATTTGGTATTTGGGGCATGATTATTTTTAGTGTACTATATATGTAAAAAGGTCAGAAAAAAGGGAAATGCTGAATAAGCTTATTCTCGCCTCTAAAAAGTGGAAATGGATATTTTCATTCAATGAAATATAATTATAGTACTTCATCGTCTGTACATGGTTGGGATGATATGTCGTCTGCCTCTTGAAAGAGGAGGAGTTACTGCCCTTTGTCAGGAGATGATGATTAAAAATCGCAGTGAAAATCGACATGGTTAGGGCCCCCTCTTTTGGCTCTGCCACTACAGTTAGGACCAAACGAACGTTCTTTATCTTGTGCTGACCGGCGAATCATACATACCAACAGATAGAAAAAGAGAAATGTACCAATATCTTAGTTTCGACTATTTATATTATTATATATTAGAAGGATTATTGAATAAAAGCCTCTGTTTATAGTATAGTAAACTTTACAAGTAGTCTGTTATGGATGACACTTGGGGAAATTAATACTGAAATTCTATTTCTAAAGTGTCTATACACTGTAGAGGGAATCTTAAGGCTTAAGAAGTGAGTTTTTATACAATAACCTATATTAAGATTGGTCTGATACTGACTATTCTAGTAGTAATAATATCTCACAGTCCCCTTTCCATAGGGAGGGCGGGAGGGGTTAGGGAGGGGATTGAATGGGCTCAAAACTGACACTTAAAAACAGATTAATTGAATATGTTTGACCAATTTGTGGAAATATCAGCTATAAATACAGTAATCTATCAGTTCTAATCGACCATCTTAAATCAAATTCTCAAGACACGGGCGTTATTTATTGCTGAGATTTTAGGTCAGTTTTAGTACGGTGAAAACTCTTCTGAGAAACACTGCAGAGAGATTTAATCTTTGCTATTTGTGTTGGCTCACCTTATATGGAATGGAATTTTAGTTTGTAACTTTGCTGTTAAGAAATGTAACGAATGCACAGGCATAGGAATGTAGGGCTAGATTTGACAAGTGTGTTTTCGTGAGCAAAGTGAAATGGCCAGTTTGAATGCTCGTTTTAGGCCTCTACTGTTAAGAGATATCGATAGTGTTGAAAGTTTTGACCGAGAATGGACAATATTTCACAGAAGGTGATGAGAACCCATCTTGAAGATTATCTCGATAAGTAAACGACGTGATCCGGATGAGTAGTATATAATTTAAAGTGATAGATATCCAGAGATTAACGAGATACTTGTAAAATTGGGTCGATCCAAACCCTTTGACCTGGTTCACCTCAATTAACATAAGGGACAAGTCATGGTTGGGGTCAGTATATACTCTCTTATAGAAGCACTGGCCTAGGGACTCTGGATTTCAGCATTGAAATACATCTATTTGATAAGAAATTACCTCCTTCTGGAGAGATTTACAAGATAAACAAATAATTCAGAAATGTTAATGAAAGGGGATCTAATCTACCATGGACAAGAACATTACTTAGATTGTTAAATAGTCTAGTCCTAACCGCTCAGACCAATTTATTCCACGATTTCCGATTTCCTTGTTCGTCCTGTTTGTATAGGCTTACTTCGTCAAATTAAGTGTCATTCTAAATCATCTTGGCCCCTTTTACAAAAAGTCGTATGACCAGTTTTGTTGTAAGTATGGCAGTATTCAATTCAATTCTTAAAACACAAATTTTATCTCAAGATTCGTTTTGTGAACGGTGCCCTGATAGCTTATTGATGTGATTTTGTTGTTGCAATGCGTACGTCCATGCTACTTTATTAGCCGCATGGTTTTCACCGTTGTTTTTTGGTTGTTTTTCATACAATCGTATCCCACTACCCTCAACTCTCCTTTAAGTCTCAGACAATATCTACTAGTGGGTCAACCGACTCGCTCTAGTAACATTCTATACTGTCTATGGGAGACGGCCCCTATATTTTTTTATTTTTTCACATTTTCAATAGAATCGTCTGCTTAAACCTTAATAAATTGTTAAAATTTGGTCTGATAATGTTGGTAAAGAGTTTTCTAGTACAGTTAGATTATTATTTAGATGTATTTTGTTAAGGGTATCAGACTAAACCAGCTTTTTGTGTTATATGAGTGAATAAAGTATTTATTGTGAATGAGTTGAACTGTTCACTTCAACTGACAATAAAGTTACGTTCAGTACTATTCGGAATGAATCTTGATGCGATGGCTTCATCTCAGAATTGTTTTTGTAGCCAAATTTCTCACATTTACAAAGCAAGTTGTTGCTCGTCTTTACTAGCCCTTTAAGAAGCAATAGAACTGCACTCATTTCATTTCGAGAAAAATGAAATGTTTTTGGAAGAATTTGTATAGCAATTTGAATTTTGTCCTTAATATTTTTCCTTTTCTCCTTTCAGTTGAGCAGCCATTGAATATATTCCTCCACGAGCAGATGGAACCGCACCTTCAACGGTCGGTAACCGAATCGGAAATGACGTCAGCAGCTATGGAGGGATTTGAAGCGTGTACTGAGGAAGCTATCCGATATTTGATCGAGGATGAGAAACTGCCAGCAGACGATCCTATGGTAGTAGGATTGAGAGAATATTTGTTCGAGAAACAGAAAGCTCTGGCTTACTCTAATTTATTCGATCATCAAGTCCCAAACTTTTCTCTACCTACGTCACTTCCGGTCAATTACAACTTATTTGAACAATGTGAGGAATATTCACTGCGGTCTGACAATCTTTCTGACCAATCAACAGACTCTATTGAAATCTCAAATATATCGTCCGAGTCAGACATGATGTCAGAACAGGAAGTGGCGCCAGAAACTGAAATGGCGGAATCTGTGGACTTCTGTGACGTTAATAATTTGTGTTTACCAGAAGACAAAATCTCGGCTATTCGTGCTTTAACCGCAGAACTTTTATCTCTTATGGAACAGGAGGACGATTTTTCAGATTTCGATGACGACGAGGAGTTTTCAAGTTACGTTATGGACAATGAGGAGGAACTAGACCACTAAAATTTCCTCTGTTTATTTATTTCTGGTGCAATATGTGCTACAAACAACTCCCCTTGACCTCTGTTTTTGGCAATATTTGGTGCATTTATTAACTATTGTCGTGTTGGCTTTGTGTTTGTTCGAGTGATATTAGTCACTTTAGTTTTAAAGCCATTATAGGATGTAATCCTACCCGAATATGAACTTTGTCGATTATTTTAATGGCAGTCAAGGGATGTGGTTCCCTTATAGTACCTGTGTAAGAAAAGTGTGTTGATGGTTATTTTTCGCTGGATGTCGCTTGTATACCTTTTTTGAAAACATTGTATACTCTCGTTGCTTGATGCAAGTGGTATGAAGTTACCATCAAATCATTAGATTATAGGTTTCATCCATCAAAATTACCATTAAAATGGTCTTCACATTGTAAAGCTATTATGAACGTATACCTTGACTGCAATAGTCACCTTCTTGTAACACGGACTGCAGTGAATACAGCCAATCAGAGCCCTCGTTAGAAAAACTGTAAACATTATGGCTTATTGCCTGTCGAGAGCTCTAATTGACTGCATTGACATACAACCCAATCAAATTTCTGCATTTACAAACGTCTTTGTTATAATAAAGATGGCTTTTGCTGTCAAGGTATAAGATGGTGTTCGTGAAGATGGGTTCATTACTACTAGCTAGATCTCAAAACTGTTCGTCAAGATTGAAAACTTACAGTTAAAGAGGTATATTCGTCCACCCATACATCAGTTATATTAAATTACAGATAGAACTCGGCGAGTAAGCTTATATCACTGCTTTGGCAGAATTTCCTTCATCGCGCACCGCATGGCGTTGATCGTCTTTAAGCTGATGCAATCTTGTCCATACGTAGAGTCATCAACATCGAGGCTTTACACTTGAGACTCGTGAGTAATTGGTCTCATGGACAGTCTTTTCCACCAGCAGAGTCATCGTCCAACAATCTTTACCATGTCAAGCTATTATAAAATGCGTCTTATACCTTGACTGCAACAGTCAACTTTCTTGTATCATGTAAGCTTGTAAATGAAGCAATTTGATTGGATTATACACTAGCGAATACAGCAAACCAGAGGCATCGACAGAAAAGATGTAATAACTGAGCCAAAATATTTACAGTCTTTCTGTGGAGAGCTATGATTGGCTGTATTCGTTGGCGTACAATCAAATCAAATCGCTACATTCTGTGAAATGAGAAAGGTAGTCATTGTCGTCTAAGTATGATATCAAGTTTGTATTATTAGCCACCATATCCTAAACTTTTAAGAATTTTTAGGATTTGATTCTAATATAAGACGTTTGTTTATTTATTTTTTATACCTTGTTGATTTTGTTTGTTGCTATGGTTATTATTTATCTGTTTGTAAATAGAATGAGTCCTTTTGTCGTATAGCCCATCACCAACCCCACCCCCCATTCCCATTCATTTTTCAAACAATTTCCAATCCACCCCCTTGTTCTAATAGTATGAAACCGTTTCAATCCAATCCCTATAATTGAACCCCTCTTGTTACTTGTTTGAAATTTGAGTTTTGTAGGCCAATGTCGTAATCTTGCATAATTTCCCTCATTCCACACTGTATGGCATTGATAGTCATGATAAGTATTTAGCAGAAAGTAGGACAAAATACTCAATTTCGTTTTATTTCATTTGGGATCTAAAATTCTAATGGCAGAGTGTCATTTCATTTCATTGATCCAGAAAGATACAAAACTCTATTTCATTTCATTGGTCTATTTGATGGACTAAAGATGTAAAACTCCATTTCATTTCAGGCCCCGTGTGCTACAGCTGTGCACGTTAAAGATCCCTCGAAAAAGAGCAGGCTAATGCCGCTGTCCTGACAAAATTTCCCTCATTGCACCCTGCATGGCGTTGCCCGCCTTCATTAGCCCACATTGTGCAGAAAAGTAGGACGTAAAATTCAATTCATTTCATTTCCATTGTATTTCAATAACTATACGTGTAATACGTTCGATTATTTTGAGACAAAACTGGTGCTCAATTGCTTTTCATCAATCAATTTGTAGTCTAACGGTAAAAGCATTGGACCGAATTCTTACATAAGCAAAGGCATCCAGAGCTAATACATTATTACTCAAAGAAACCTCTCTATCTTCTAAGTATTTCAAATAAATATTAATGATTTGATCATTTAACCATTTCCTTGGTGATAATGTTTCAATATCAAACTGAGAAACAGAATAACCAAATTTCCTACTGGAACAGTTTATATTGTTACCATGACAACATTCATATCACCATGGCAACTGTATCTGATCTATCATATTGTATATTCAAACAATCTCATGGTTCATTATTTATTTTCTAAAAGTTTCAATAAAATTATTTTCATTACAAAATGTCGTTTTGCCCACCTCCCCCTTTGTTCAAGCTGTAATCGTTACCTGTGGATTTTGGATAGATTCCTACCTATGCATACAAGCTCTATAGAGACGTAACAATTATATCATATTATGGGTCTATTCAGATTGGCAGCCCAATATTGTTACGTCATAACTAGGAAACTTGGGCTGCTCAAAATAAGCATGAGTTTTCAAGCGGGAAATACGACTTCCCACATATATAGTTAAAGTGATTTCACATTTACTCATGTCCAACAACGGACCTTCATTGACTATATTGTGTATAGAAGCCAATTGCCCACACTTCAGTATTATACCGGAAGTGATGATCAGAATTGCCTCATCTTTTATAAATGTATATATCAGATATCGACATTGACTCTCAGGGACTATGAGTTACCTCAGTGACCCACATGTCCAACAGCGGGCCTGTGAAACATGCGACTTTATCGCGTAAATCGGTTTGAAAGTCTGTTTCTGGACATTGGGTCATTGGGCTGGCTCATAGTCCACGAGAGATATTCTCTATGTTTGTGGGTCACAGTCGTAATAAATGAAAGTTTCGATCATCAAATCTCATGTGGACGTATTACTGAAGTGCGATAAGTATGGGCTTGTTACTAGTAACGTAACACAGTATCTATGGAATTTTGTAGAAACGGTACGAAACGTGCAAATTGTGCGAAACGAATATTCCATTCGTAAGAAGTATCAAAAGAATTAATATATTTTCACACAACGAAATATCTCAGAAATGGTCTTGTGCATGTTTGTTTTGTTATGAATTTTACTCTTTCAGTCAACTTTTTTCGACATCGGAACATTTTCTATATTTTTACAGACAAACAAATCGATTTAAAGCAGAAAAAATTATCTGATTATGATGAAATTTTGTGAGAATACTCAGAATAGACTCTAGAACATCACCAGGTGGTATTTTAGTGGATAAAAAATTAAAATTCTAAAGAGCTACACAAGTGAAGTAGCGCCACGAATACAGCATTAAACCTTAACATAAAACTCGTGAACATAGATTACATCAGTATGTGCAGACTCTTTTGTGGGTTTGTTTTTCTAATATTCTCATAGGTAGCTATTTAAATAAAATGACCCACTGTCCCATCGATTTAATGATAAGGAGCCAAAAAATCGAAGGCTCTGAGTTGTTTTTTGTCGATTGGCAAAATGCTTAAGGTGTCTTTGCTGTGGTTAAAATATAAACATAATTACACATTATCACGGACTTTTAGGGTTGATATTATTACACATTATCACGGACATTTAGGGTTGATATTATTACACATTATCACGGATATTTCGGGTTGATATTTGTGGGAGGGATGTTACATTCAAAGATTTTTAAGACTATACTATTGATTTGTTTTCTGTCATTCTTCTCGTAGTATAAAATCTGCGATCCTTAAAATAAACAAAACTTATTAGTTATTATAGCGCGATTCTTTATTAGCGGTTGAGGTGGTACGGCGGTACCATTTGGCTTTGTTAAATAACGAAGGGTTTATCTTGTATAGCATTGGTGATTACAAAAAAAATATTCACGATTAAAACAAAGAATCGATGATAAATATTATGCTGTCTCTGCGTTTTCTAACGCTTACAACCCTACTACATTGGTTGCCATTTTCGATCAAACTTGAAAGTAGTTTCGCTCTAAGTTTTAAACAATATTTGAACCAACATTTAGAAGCGAGGAGCACATATATAACACAAGACAAGAATTATAGAATAAAACACATGGGTACATAACGTTTCAACACAAGTTACACGTATCGTCATCAGATGAAATGGTGAAAGAATAAAACCAAGCTTTTCTACGACCTCACGCAATCTTAGCACTCAAGAATACTTGATTTATTCATTAGAAACATCAGTTTATCAAACAATAAGCATGATTTGACCAAGAAAAATAAGCAAAGGCTGTCCCGATATCCAGGTAATTCATCAGAACATTGCCACGTATTAAGACGTAGGGATTGTCTTTTGATATAAAAATAATTAAATACTAGAGCCACTCGTGGCACAGAGTGGGACTTTGCAAATGTAGCAAAATGCAAAAGACCCCGAAAAAATCAACCTTCCACGATAATTAGATCAAGAACAGTGTAAAGTTGATAAATTTTCATTTTTAAGGATGAGGTAATTGTGTGCAAAGTCTCTTTTTGAACAAACGCATCCTATGCGAGTTATGCCCCAGCCCCAAAATGTAAACAATTAGTAATTCAACCCGGATGTGCCAAGCCCACATAAGTTTTTTTGTCATAGGTGAATTCATATTCAAAGTGTCTAGTTGTATTCCAAATATCAAGGTTCTACATCAAATAGATCATAAGATATACATATACCAAGCTCAAAAAGATGCAAATATTGTAAAAAAAACCTCAAATTTGAAAAAATCACGAATTTCAATTTTGCTTTAAAAGAACGATTGTTATATATCTATGTAAAGTGCATGAGAAGCACATTAGGAAACCGAAAAAATTAACCCTCTAGGTTAAGTAGGTCACGTGCTAGAGCAGTCCAAAGTTGCGAATTTGGCTTTTTACGGATAGCTATAAAACCGGAAGTACATGTCGGAGATCAAAGGTCAAAGTATCAAATGATAGCCAAGGTCAATGACCTTTGATCCTATGAAGGTCAAGGTCATCAAAGGCCAAGGTCACATGGTGTGATCGTTTAAAGCTTTAAAAAATTTCAACCGGAAGTTGCAAAAAAGCAAAAGCGAAATTCAAAATTCGGCTCCCAATGTTTTTTGCAGAATACATTCACATCAAATTTGAGCATATCAACTTTTACCCTGAGGCCCCATTTTGAGTTTTACAAAAGTGTGTTTTTTCAATATGGCGGCCAAAGTATCACTTCCGGTCTGGATTTTATTTTCTTCGTTTTTTTGTATTAGAATTTACTTACGATCAGCATAAATTTCGTTGACCTATTTCAATTACACCGGAAGTTATTCGACCGGAAGTGGATTGTACTTCAATTGATTTCCCGTTTAAAACCGGAAGTAAAATTAAATATTTGACAACTACATATTATTTGCTTTGGTGATGTCCCTTTGCATATTAAATTTCAGATCAATCGATGCAAAAGCAAAAAAGTTGCAAAAAAATTGAAAAATTTGATCGAAAAAAGTGAGCGACGAATTTTCGAATTTCGTAATTTTTCAAGTGCTATCATCAGAAATTACAGGTATATTTTAAAAATGAAAATCCGAAGAAAATTGATGCAAAAATACGCCTTCTAGAGCCGATTTTCGACTTTTTGCACATGTTGAACTGTGGCACTTCCGGTTTTGCAAAAATGTTCCAATTTATATTTATGCACATCGTCGCCTATATAGAAGGTCTATGAAATTTGAAACGTACCTGCAACTAGTGCAGTCTAAGCTCAGGAAGGTGTGGACGAAACGAAAAAAAAAAAAAAAAAAAAAAAAAAAAAAAAAAAAAAAAAAAAAAAGAATTGACATTTCGATAACAAACTGGGACTTTGCTGAAAGCAAAGTCCCACAATAATAGTTCAACAAATTGGGTTTTTTCATGATGAAAATACAGGAACGTTTTATAACACAGTCCAATTTAAATCTTCTCACACAATGAAATCAATGAATATTATTGATAAAGACAAAGTTACAAGTTCACGGTCACTGAGAACTGGACAACAGAAAACCAAGAACCGGTTAGAAAAAACAGTTCCAAACGGCTGTCAAACCAACAGAAACGAACTAAATATTAATAAAATCTTTTATAGCATCCACGTGCTTTATTTTTAAACAGGAAGTTTTCATAATCTAGGAACACTAGTCTTTTCCATCCAGACGTAAATGTCAATACAATAGACAATATAAAAATGCAAGATTATCCAGGCCAATTGGATTTACATTAGATTAAATTATTAATGAAATTGGAATCGGACCACAAATATTTTCTTACATTGAAATAAACTTAAAATGGTAGCCTCAAAGGCAGCTTTTACCCTGTGTCAGCGCCTTTTATTGAACAGTAACTTGTTACTTTAAATCACCCTAATTTCTATCATATATATAAAAGACAATGATAGAAATAGGAAAATCAACCCCCGAAATTAACATTAAAAGTTTTTAAATAATTATACAGTAAAGATATTCTTATTTTGGGGGCTTTAAGAATAGCAGTTTTCGTAGCGTGAATAAAGGCCCAGGTGATTGTTTACATTTAGAGTCATCGATGGTTATATTGAATTCACCAACTGCACTGTTCACCATAGTTAAAATATGAAGTATATCCAATCTGAAATAAAACAAAAATATAAACCAATCTAACAAGTTTACTACGATATTTCATGACATTTAATGGCAGTTTAAAGCAGACACAAGTGCGTGCCACGTAATTTTTGTGGAAGTTTAAAATTCTGGCCAGTTTAAATCTAATTATCAATCATTCTACCCAGATACGAAATAGACTGCTCTTACTTTTCTTACTAACATGCTTGTTTCTTGACAATCATTGTACATTTTCGGAATTGTTTGGTTGTTCTACTAGCAGAATCTTGGAGCAACTGGATTATCAACGACTACATGAAGCAATGGAATCTTGCAGAATCACAATATATCGACTGAACAATCAGTCTTGCAGTTCAAGATTGTAGTTGCTAGTTGTCTGTCAATTGCTTGATATGATTGTTTGGTTTATGTTAACAGTTACGGATCCAATTGCATACTTTGAAGTACCAAGTATAAGTCACATTAAAGGGACAGGTATATACAATATATGTCAATAGTCTTCAGAAGAAGGCTACTAGAAATGTACGAAAATTGCATAATTCGCAACTGTCCCTTTAAAAGAGATAAAAAGACAAGAGAAACCACTTACCGTTCAGCATATTCCTCTAAAGCTTTACACAATGTTTGTATGAAAAATGATCCAGTCATTTCATAACGATATGACACAAATCCTGGAACTGTTGCCCTTGCCATCAAGAAGTCAGCTTCATTGGGAATAACTTCCATAACAGGGGCATCATTTCCACCAGATATAGAATCTCTTTGAACCGTTCGACCTAAGGAAAATGATAACTTTATTGTCAAATAGGTGTCATTGATACAACCCTATTAAAAGCACGACAATATAGGTACTCTAGCACACCGTAGGTGTGAACAGTCAGCGTTTTCTTGGGTTGATTTGGGTCTTGAATATGATTATATAAATAGTCTCCAGAAGTACTAGTACTTTATGAAATATATATACCGGTAATCCATAAAAATATAACTAATTATAAATTTCACATTATATATCTTTATATTATGGAATAGTCTCAAGAGAAGACGAGTCGTCATATTATCTTTCAAACATGGAATTGAAGACTAAAATCTCAACCGTACTCTGTACGCTTTTACTGATTCGCTCAGCTGAAAATCTTTTATTTCTAAGACTAAGGTACGATTGGCCAAACAGATTGCGAACGGGTTCGTTCAAAGGCTCCTAAGAAGTAAGCAATGAGCAATTGAAAATTTTAATAGAGTTGACATTGAAGTGGTGAAAACAAATTGAAGAAAGGTGTTGTTCATTTTCATTAATCCACTAAAATACAGAACAGTAGGAGATATGTTTGCAGCTCTTGTCTATGATATTACACTCACCTTGTTGTCGTTCGTGACCCTGACAAGCATCAATAAAAAACAGCTTCGGTTTACCACACAGGTCTGGGCAAGGAATAGCTTTAAAGGGGTCTGTTAGACTTCTAATTGGTACTGATACACCATCTGATCCAAGGATTTCGTCCCTTATACCATGTGACGTAATTACACATACAAAACAATCATATTGGCGGTGATCTTCTCGTGCATAGCTCTTCATCTCCTGAATAATTTCGTCACCTTTTAAATTATTGTGTAACTTCACAATGAATCCAAGATTTTTAAAGGTACCTTCAGCAGCATC